TTTTAAGCGATTTGGTCTTCCCACATAACGGCTAAAATAATGAAAAAAAAACACCTTTTTTTTTTGACTGCATACCAATTCCTATTCCTACAGCAGTAAATGGCAAGATATGTTGCAAAACAAACACCAAATGAAAAAAAAAAAAAAAAAACGACAGGCTCCCAATAACCTTTTTCAACTGAAAAGGTCTCAAAAAGTTGATCACTGTCGAATAAACTGATCAACTAATTGTTCCTACAAGTAAACTGAACAGTGCGTTACGCAGTAATGGCCAAATAACTGCGCCCTAAAAGATAAAGGAATTTTCATAAATGGTGATGTAACACATTTAGAATTTTAATGAAATCATTCCCTGCAATATTTCAACAGCAATACTGTTCAAACAGAACTGGATTACGAGGTTTTTGTCTGCTTTAAAACATTAATGACAGGAATGCCGTTTAAAACCAAAAAAAATTGGCAAAATAGATTAAATTTTCCTTTCTCCTCTTTCTTTTTCAAGATTAACCACTTTTTGTGCAGACCAAGTACGGATTTATTCTCTCAGATTCGTACCGCCATTTGTTTACTCATGTCTTATGGCCTCTAAAAGCAAGTAAAACTGCTTCTGGTTCTAAGAGACGGTAAAACATCGAGTTAACCTTATATATTTGTAAAAAAAAATGATTATCGAGTATACTATCAATAAGTGTATTCAAATTAATTTCAAAAATTTCAGATTATAAGAATTTGTAAAAGAGATCATAGTCTCAATGCCACTTCTAAAAAATTATTTTAAGTTAATTCTTTTAAAAAGAGCTTAAAAATGATATTGTTATACTGATATCTACGGCACAATCTCTCAAGATCAGTGATGCCCACCATGATTTACTAGAATATTACTACAGTAATGGTTTTTAATGCAAGTATGATGTACTAAGTACTCATACTTTTCAAGGCACATCAAGTTTTATTTAAACCCTAGAAAACGATTTTAACATTTCAGCTATGATCGTATAAGTCTTTCAAGATGGTTGTTATAAATCTCATTTTTACAGCTTGGCATTTGTTCTTTGCTGAACAACAGAATAACCACTTTTCCGCTGCACAAAAATGCACTCTGAGGACTCATACTCACTTACATAAAAGAAAACTCTGATGACAACTTCTTTTACTTTTCTATAATAAAAATTAACAGATTTTTTAAGAACATTTCAAAACTTACCCAAAAGCTTCCATTTCGACTGTCCAGTATAACTGTTGTGTACCAAAAGATGCAATATAAATAGATGAATAAATGTATATCAATAATTATAATCCAAAGTCCTAAAAGAATATGATTTCAAAGAATTTAAAAAAATTCAAAAAAAAAAATTCACAATTTTTAAGACACTTAAAATTATCGTTATTTTTATCGTTTTCTAATACATACCTGCGAGATTGTGATAAAATGCAAACTGTAAAATTTAAGCCTAAGTCTTACAAGCATTTTTATGTCAAACTCAATTACAGGAAACTTAATTATAGAAAAATTATAACTAAAAACTGAGTTTGTCTCAACCGTGTACGGCTAAGAACTAAAGTGTCAATTATTTGGTCGTCGTCTGTAGAAAACATAAATTTAAAATTAAAATTCGACACGCTGCCGCCGTTAGAACGACATGTTTTACTACAATTTAAATTTTTTACTCACCTCATAACAGCTAAAGACAGAAAAGCTTACACCGTCAACCGTACGAAAACGTGGTGCTTTGAAAATGCATTAAAAATCTGATTTTTCATTCAATACTGAAAAAATTGCTCAGATTGTTTATAGTATACCTGATATATAGACGATAGCTTACATGTTTGATCATAAAACAGTTGTTTTCTAAAATTTTACATAACGGTATAATATTTGCTTGGAAGATAAAGCTCTTTTGCCGCCATTAATTCATTAAAGAAAAAGATGAATTCTTAAAAAGGAACAAAGATTCATTTGGCAAACCAAATAATTTATTCGATCGTCATGGTCGAATATATAAACCAAAGATGATACTGTTGAAGGTAATAAAGAGTTTCAAGCTAAAATTTTTTTATTTGAAACATATTTCTGGTACAGTACAGTTCCGTAAATTAGCAAAGCCAAACTGACTATCGAATTTATCAGACCGCTTCGATGAAAAATCTTTGTAGATACAGTAATTTGAAAGATTACTGATGCTGCTTATCATCAGCTGACGATAACAATTTATAGGCGCCAAAAGGCTTAATGATTAATGCCAATCAAGGCAACCTTAAAACTTGCACCCAGTTGACCCATCGGGGGATATTTTACGTTTTATACACTTTGATACTAAAAATATTCAAAAAAAAAAATCTTTTATCTATTTTCTTAAATTTATTGAACTTAAGAAAAAAACAAACTTTTGAAGCATTATGTTGTATAGTGGTTCCTCATGAAATATTGTTGAGTATTTAGCCGCACTTGATAGTGTCTCGAAAAAAAGCTTAATAAGTAAATAAAAAATTAATATTTTAGGAAGCCTAAATCTCAACACTTTCAGAATGACAGTAAGAGATGTCAATGATGTATTTGAAATTTCGAAAAAGCATAATATCGTCTACTGTAAACTTAACAAATACGGTAATCATCAGAAAAATTGGCATATTTTTCTCCACAAACAACAGTTTGAATAAATAAAGTTAGCAGACTTTTTAAAAATCTCATTTATAGTTCTTCCAGTACTAATTATTTTCCTATCATAAAAAACTCCAGATGTTTTGAAGTAGAAAACAGCATCAGATTGGCAATATCAAGGTAGCAGACAATTTCCATCATAAGTTCTCAGATTTCTGCTATAACTTCCTTAAAAGAACTGATTTATTGTAGTTGCTTATCACTATCCATCTTAGTATGTTAATCACAGTTGCAAATGATAAGTTTACCATGCGCTGCTGTGTCTTTCAATTTTTTCGATTAAAGTCACAGAACTGATAAACCCCCTCCCAGAGATCCGCAAGCACTAATCACTGTTTCTTTTTAACAGGAAGCTAACGACGCGACTTACTGTAGTTTCCTACACCTGTTGATCCATAAAACTTAAGATTTACCACCGTTGCAACAAATCGAGTTTCCAGTACAAAATTCCTATCAAAGAAACTGTTGTTTTTGTCGGTTTCAAGGCACGCTGGCAGCAGTTTGATGGGTCATTTTCTAGCCGCTCAGAACACACCCAAATTTTTTAGCTAAATCTTAAGCGACTTGAATATGCTCCAGCCAATGCTTTCGACTCTGAACGCCACTGGATTATTAAGTTACCTTTCAAGAATTTTATTTTAGTTAACAATCCCCTTCCTTGCTGTGTACAATTTTTCTTTTCTCCTTATACAGCCTTACCAGCATTTAATGTTACTTTTGAAAGTAACAACAGTTGTACTAGTAACTGTTCATTACTCAAGAATGAAACTGTATCGACTTAAAAAATTTAAAGATCGTTAAAAAGCAGAAAACTTTGCTACAAATCACTATTTGAAGTACAATTCAACAAAAACAGTAACCTTTTAAAGTGATTACTAAATATATAGAAGTTATTGAAAAAGTTAATTTCCAGATTGACACGCTGTACTAAATGTTTACAGAAAAACGACATTCTTGGCACCTAATTTCAGTTTACGTTATGTTTATGAGCGACATATGCTGAAGGGGTATTGGGGGTATTAGGAGGATAACTTCGAAAACTACAGGAAGAAACTTCAACAATTTTCTGGCTTTCAGACTGTTAACCTTTACCGTCATAACGGTACAATAAATAAGTAAAGGCGACGCTAATTTTACGAAGTTCTAAAAGAATGTGGAGCACTACCTACAGTTGCTACTTCTAAACAAAAGCACTCAGTAAAACCGTTTTTTTCAGTAGACCACAGCTCACTTTACCTAATCTGTCACTGCGCCTCTTTATTTCAAAAGACGGAACGGCAAAACAGCCTTCTTTGGAGTTCACGCCTCTATATTGATGAGATATTCAAACCCTCACCCTACAGAACTCAAGCAGCTGTTTTGCATGTATTTTTCCTCCCTCTCAAAACTGTCTCCGCTGTCTCCGACAGAAACGAACATTATTTATATTGTGCTGTTAAAGTCATCCTTCCTAAAAGCTTGAACGGCTGCCAAAACCTCACTTTAACTCGTTTTTTAATTCGGGGAAGCGTCAAACTTGGATTACTCTCTGATGCGCTTTATGTTCTGCCTGGAAGTTTTGGGATTACCGGGTGCTGTGCAGGTTGAAACGACGTGACTTCATCGTTGTTTACAGTTGACATGTGCAGGTTTCTTAAATAAATTCAGTTTTAACGCCTTTAACTTGAAAAGACATTTTGTTAATCCATCTAGAGGTTTTTGCAGACGTTCTATGATTGCAGAGCAAGAAAGGTTTTTTCATAATTCAACTTTTAATAAAACCTATACAGGCCTGCTCTATTAGCTGCAGTAATTCTTGAAAGTACCGATCTGCGCATTTCTGATTTTGTTATTTTTTTCTAGGTTTTTTTCTCCAAACTTTTCAGGTCTCATTTTGAAAGTTATACTTGGGGTTACTGACAGAAGCATCTCTATGGTCAAGCTTTTTTTAATTTTAATGGAAGGAAAAGAAATAATGAAATTTTAAGGTTACTCAGCAGTGTTAGTTAAGGAATTGATTTTAGCTTATTATTTCTTTGGGCAAGTAAAAAACTTGTGTTTGCGCTGCAGAGAAATTGACGAAAAAATAGCAGTTCCAGTTCAGTTATGCTTTATTTGAACAAGAACTTTGTTAACTGCTGTAAATTATGCAATGATTTTTTGCTCAGATTGAATATTGAGGAAGTGAGCTGTTTTTAAAAAGGCTACTTCTTGTTTAAAAAAATGAAAATTTTATCTTATCTTGCAAGCAACGTAAAATCTCAAATTGCATACATTGATTAGAGCTCGCGTATTCAGAAACTTCTTCATCTTCCTCTCAGATCGATAGTGATTTGAATTGAGCAGAAGTATTTGTTCAGTCATGGCAATGGAAAAGGTTTTTCAACCGGAATTGCACGAATTCGTTTCGCCACTTGTCAATTTTGAAGTTTTCAGAGAAGTTTGTTGTTATTTATTACTTAACAGCACTTACTGTTTAGTTGTCGTGAAATCACGGTCGGTACCTCACTAACACAAGCCTTCTGGCAAAGTTTTAATTTTTCACGTTTTCAAAAAGTTTTGCATGCACATGCCGTCCTGAATCACAAATTTCGGTAGTTACAGAAAGCTATTATTGCCCGAAATGCTATGCGGAAGGCTGCTCGGTTACCTGAGCCTGCTCTGTTAGCTTATCCTGAATCCATCCCACCTGCACCTCCTTATGTACGTGAAGCCCGAGTAGAGGACGTTATTGTAAAGAAGGAGTCATTTGTACTTGACATTGTCGATAAGGCAGCGTCTACATTGGGCATATCAGTTGAAAGTTTAAAAGCAGCTGCAGAGAGATTAAGGTGCAATTTCGTAATTCGTTTTTGTTGGAATATAAATTGAGGATTGTTTTGATGTTCTTCAGGTTATTTTTCATGCTTATGGGCTCGTATGAGAGTAGTGAATTATTTATACTTCTACTCACTTTTCGTTCTCAATTTCAGTTTTTCAGCGTGATGGATTCTTTGTCAGCTATGAACAATCGTGACATATTTTTTCGGAAAAAAAATGAAAAGCAAGACATTCCTGCGGATACCCAGCTGGAAACGTTGAAGTAAGCTTAGTAAAACTTTAATTTAGTTGGATTTTCTGTTTTTTTTTTTCCTCATCGTTCTGCCAAGCAGTTTGGCTTTTCCTTCTTTTTTTAAAGTACCTTTTTCATTCATTAATGAATGATTTAGTGAATCTCGCAGAATAATGTTTTAGAGTGAAGCAGAAAGTTTTGGAAGACTACAATCCTATAAAAAGGAAACCGATAGATAGGTTTTGCGATCCAGAGTAAGTGTATCTCTTAGTTATTTTTGAGAGATATTATTTGAAGGTCAAAAGCTGTTTTAAGTTGTGGAAAATACCCTAAAGCGGTAGTTTTCTAATTTTCTAAATCATTTCACACTTTTTAGTGAAGTGTATAAAGTCTGTATTGGAATTCCGTGGATCGTGCTACTTTTTTTGATATTTTTCTACATTTCGCCTTTACTTTTGCATTATGATGAGTAGTTTTCTGTAATAGGTGAGTAAAGAAACTTTTTTCAACCAGCAGGATTTTATTGCATTTGATTTGATAATTATTCTCATTTGATTCAGGGAACGCGAACAAGATAAACAGTTAAGAACGAAGATTTTTTCCAAATTACGACACGAAGAGAGGGTATTAAAATATGGTGATTATTTCCCAAATGTAAGTTTCATACAAACGCATTGCCTAGTTTCTTGCTGCTGTGTTATCAACTTTTTTTGAAGCTTTTGACACCTGGAAACAATTGTTTGTCTAAATTATTCTTACTGTACAACTTACTGAAGAATATGCGTGAATTTGGTGTAGTGGTGCTGCATTTTTATGTGTAGGAAATAAAACGTGAAAGGCTGACCGTCCCGGTTGAAACGGCTGTAGACGATCTTGTTGTTACAATCAACATTTTGAAGCCTCATAATCGAGCTCTCGATGGTTTTGAAAGAAGATCTCTCAGAGTAAGTTTTAAATTTGATGATTTGTTGGATTAGACTTGTCGCTTTATTGTTATAATCCATTCATTCAACTGGAAATGGGACCTTGAAAAAATTTTTCGAGCGGAACCTCGATTTCGGGAGGCGTTAAAAACAGTTCCTCAAACTCGTTGCTTACTGAAAGTCTCGGAAAGTTTTCATGTTATTCTGTTGACTTTCTAGCTTACTCCTCATTGGAAATACGTCTTGCGTGGTGAGAACTCACTGCTTGATGTCCATTCGTTGTTTAAATGCTCTGCAGATTTTGGAACGAGGTCTGACCTAGGCGACGTTGTACCCAAAGTGGAAGACTTTAATTTTGTATGTTTTTTTAATGAGGAATTTATTAATCGTATCATTACTGAGAGTCATTACTGTTTATTTATTGTTTCATTTTTCCATTCAAAAAGTCATTTGTACTGCTTGGTTTATTGGGAGCTTTTTAAAACAGATAAGGTATCCCTCGTCATTTTTATTCATTCATGACACTTTTTACATTGCGGATTATTATACGGGGATGGCGGAAGTCGTTCAGCAGATCAGTGAAGTGCCATTAACGCAGCTGGTCGATTTGTCCGAGTAAGTTTTTAGTTAATTTTTGCGTGGTATTTACTATAGAATATTGATTTTTTGAATTGGCGCTTAGAGATTTCTCTTTTCTTTTTTTCAGAAATATTTCCTGGTTTTTTAGTGTTTTTTTCAAGAAGCTTTCTACTTTTAGACCTATAAGGATGTGGATGCTTCGTAAGAAGGACCAATTCGGCCCAACGCGAGTAAAAAGCATCACAAACGTTACGGTTAGTTTTTAAATCAATTTTGGCTTAAGAAGTTTCCTTTTCTGCTTTGGTTGAAAAGGTTGAAACCCTTGTTCACCTTTGCTTGCCCCTTTAATTCAAGTTTGTGAGTGTTTTTCAATTCTTATAACACATTTTTCAGGTCAAGGAGCTGACTTGTCGCTTGGGTTACCCATATGTTTATGTGCACCAGGGCTGCTGCGAACACGTTTTTTTCTTTTCAGATCTAAGGCTGATGACTCCTCAGGATTATCCGGAATCTTACCCTCATAGAGTCTCTGACGAAAGCATAACTAATTATTGTGTTGTTTGCCATCGAAATCTTGCTGAGTGAGGCATTTTTTTTATTTGTTGGACTAGATTTATCAGATTATTATCATATTTTCTAAC